AGAGCATGTGCCCTGGACAAACAGGATAAGGAGGGCACGTCTGACATGGTGAAGCAGTCTTTTTTTTTTAAGTGGGGGTACTGGGTATTGAACCTAGGACCTCGTGCATGCTAAGTATGTGCTCTACCACTGAGCTATACCCTCCCCCCTTGTAATTAAATGTACTCAAAGACACGGTCAGGGATGGTGGGGGACTAATTAGAGGTCAGACAGGAGAGACTGAAGTGATAAGGGTTAATCGGAGAAGCTGAGTAAAGGAGATTGCTCCCAGGACATGAAAACGACACCAGCAAGGACTTATGCCCAGTTCCCTTCCCTGGAGAAGAGAAATTGATCAGCACTTCAGCGGGAGCAGCCAGAACAATCTTGTTGCTCCCACTCAAATCTGACCAAAGGACAATGAAGAGCCACTGTCGCACAGTCAAGGGGGCTGCCCTCCTCCCTGGGTTCTTGGCGGTAGGAAGAGGTAGAGCAGGGGGGGCTGCCCTCAGTGTGGCTGAACCTGCACAGAGGATGGGGGGCTCAGAAGCCAGTGTGAAGGAGGGAGGCGGGACGGGGGGCAAGGAGAAGTTACTGCACAGAATCAGCTCCAATAAGAGTTCAGGCTGAAAGGTTAGAGGAAGAAAGAAGGGCAAAGAAAGGACAGGGAGATAAGATGTCATTCTGAACATGAGACAGGTAGTGAGAAGAGATAAACGCTGGAGGCAAGAGCTAAGGGTGGAGGAAAACATGAAGATAATGAACAGAACCCGGATGGGGTAAAAACAAGATGATAATGCAGAAAGCAAAGGATCTGAGAACAATGGGTCAGGGAGAAGCGAACAAAGGTCAGGACAGAGCCAGCTCAGGCTGGGAAGCGGCCATCCCGCGGCCCGCCCCCCTCCCCCCAGATTTGGTTACACAAAGGGGACTAAGAGATTCTGCCAAAATCAGTGACAAGCGCCCTGCTGTGTGGCGGGGCTGGGAACCGCAGCTCTGCCGTTAGTGGAATATCCCCTTAATAAAAGTTTCGCCACCCAGCAAGCCCTCACGGATCAGGTGGGCTTTCACGTGGCGTGAGATACTGGAGGTCCCTCACTCCAGCAGGGATGAGAGGTAGCCAGGCCACTGCGACGGCTGCAGGTCTCCACCCAGGCGATTCTGGGTGCTGGGATGTCAAATGGCAGCGTTTATTACAACGATGCTCCAAATAAAATCAGAACCTCATTCAGCGACCTGTAGTTTAGAGTTTCTGAGAGTGGTACCTGATTTGGACAGGAGGGTGATGTACCCTACAAGGGACAGCAGGACGTCGTGGTTGGAGTGCAGGCTCTAGGCTCAGTGGCCTGGGTTCATATCCCTGCTCTGCTACTTACTAACGGTGAGAACTGCGGCCCCGATTTTATGATTTGCAAAGTGGGTAGAATGATAACACCCACCTCACAGGGTTGTTACGAATAGTAAATGAGTGCTATGTGTTAAGTGCTTCAAACAGTGCCTGGCACGTGGAGAGTACTCTCTCCAACCCAGAAACTAGGATTTCTTAGGGTTCCTAAGCCCAAACTATTGGGACAGGAAGTAGGAGGCCCTAAGTTGAGGGAGGAGAAGCTACTTTAAAAAAAAAAGTTCTGTAGTTTTTCTTTTGTTTTGTTTTGTGTGTGTGGGGGGTAATTTTATTCAGTTTATTTATTTATTTAATGGAGGTACTGAGGATTGAACCCAGGACCTCGTGCTTGCTAAGCACACGCTCTAGCACCGAGCTGTACCCACCCCCAGGAGAAGCTACTGTTGAGTGGGCTCTGTGTGTGGCCTACATGGGGCCGAGGTCAGAGAGAGATGGGAAGGGGCTTCCTACTGAAGCTGGGGGTTTAGGTATGGCCCTCTGGGGTTCACCAGCATTTTTGATTGAACTAAGTCCAAGAGATCAAACCAAGGGCCTCTCCATTCACCAAATGACGAAATATGCCTGGTCTGGGTGAACTGTGTGCTGAGTCGCAGGCTTTTGGCTCCTCTACCCTGGAAATCTGTGATTCGGTCCAGTTACGTGACAACTGAAGAGACGAAATCAGATTTGGATTCTGCTACTTGCTAGCATTTTGACCTTTGTCCTTGGTTTCCTCCTTGACCTCAGAGAGCTGTTATGAAGCCCCAGCAAGTAGGGGAAAGTAAGGCAAACACAACTGGACTCTGAGAAAGATCATTTACAAAGCTAGTGAGCAGACGGACTGCAGCCCTGCCTGTGCAATGTAAACGATGCAGGTGATAGAACTGTGAACAGTGTCTTTGTGGACTAGAGGCAAAGAGGGACTTTAAAAAACATCGGAAGCACAATCACAAGGCTCAAGATGAATGTGATCCCTCCAAATAAAAGATTTCAGAACGAAGGACACAATGATCAAAGATAATGACCAGATAACAGGTTAGGAAAAGACACTGCAGTATCTAAAGCCAAAAAATGCAACTAGTGTCTGGACTACACGGGGCCTCCTGCACATCAACAAGACAGAGAAGAACCCAGTGGAAAAATGGGCTAAGAGTATGAACAGGTAATGTTCCCAATGAGAAAGCTAAAGGACTAAACAAACATATGGGGAGATGTTCACTGGTTATAAGGTAATTGCAGGTTAAGCCAATGAGATATTACTTTCCCCCTCTTCAGCAAAAATTAAAAAGCTGAATAATGCCAGTTGGGTTAGGCTGTGGTCCCTACATTACCGGGAGTAGTGGGTAAGTGGCGTAGCCATTCTGCAAAGCAATCTGTCTTACCTAGCCAGACCACTGATACGTATACCGCCTGACCAATAATCCAGTTCTGGGGATACAAGTGTAGATAGATCCTGAAGTCTCTCACACAGCGGCCTAAGGACACAGGCATGAGGATGCTTGTCACAGCAGAGGGTTGCTGGTGGAGGCAGGGCGCTGGGTGAAATCCACAGCCCTTCCATGGGGGAATGCACAGGTGACGCATGGTGGCTGCACTCTGTGAATCATGTACAGCCCTGAGAAGCGGGTTAGGTGGATCACAGTAACACAACGCTGGAAGAAAAAGTGCACGCATCCTAATTTACACAAGCGGATCTGACATAAACACGAATTAAAATACATGCATAGAACACTACAACCTGAAATGCCAAAACACAAACAAATATGTCAGGATGGTTACTTAAGGGGTAAAGGGAATGGGAATTGTGAAAAAAAGGAAAGACCGGTTTTTAAAAAGAGCGCAGGGGGAGGGTATAGCTTAGTGGCAGAGGGCACGCTTAGCATGCACGAGGTCCTGGGTTCAATCCCCAGGACCTCCATTAAAAAATCAGTAAGTAACCTAACTACCTTTCTTCCTCCCAAAGAAAAATAAATAAGAAAAAGAATAAGAATAAGAATCTGCACCCAAGGCCTTTGCTGTTAAATCTGGTAGTTTCCACCCCTTCCATGAACTCTGGTGCCTGCCAGGTTTGTGATCCAGGAAGCACTAGAACTCCACAGCCTAAGGGCAGTGATTCAGTCTTCCGCCTCCTGGATTTCAAAACAGAAGAAACGGCAGACTTCACCCACAGTTCACCCTTCAGCGAACAGTTTTGTTAAGACATCAAGAAAGCTGAAGCCAGCAGTCAGCAGACACCCACAGGATGTGACAGGGTTTGTTTGGACTCCACCTCTCTCAGCAGTTAAGTACACGCCAAAGGGGAAAGCCCAAACACCATGACTACTAGAAAAGCGACCATTCTGGGAAACTATTTTCTATGTTACAAAACTACGTTTTCATCACAGAGGGCAGGTTCTTCGCATCACTATGTGCGCACAGACCAAACAGCTTCTGGTTAATGGCTCCTGACGTAGAGGAATAGCAGAGTACCACCTCTCTAAGATCTGCCCTCTTGGAACCCTCACTCAGTGGTACCTGGGCTTCCCTGGCTCTTCTTAATCTACTTCTGCGGCAGCGCCCACCTCCCTCACCGTGGCCATAGTCTTCCTGTTTGAATTTTAGAGCAGCCATATTCAACCTTGGTTGCACTTTAGAATCACCCGGAGAGCTTTTTAAAATCCCAATGCCTGGGTCGCCCCTCTCCAGTTAAACCAGACCTTCTGGGAGTGGGGCGTGGGCATCACTGTTGGTTAAACTTCCCAAGGTGGTTCCCAGGGTGCCGCTGCTTTTGAGTCCTGCTTATGGGACATATGCAGAAAAGATTTATTAAGTTAAGTATGAAAACGTATTCCTTCTGTGGAGACCAGAGACAGGGTCCTTGTCCTGGGCCATGTTATAAGTAAGAATCATCCAAGGTACAGGTCTGCTGGCCCTTACCTCCTGGGGTCCCAGGGGAAAACGGCTTTGCTGAGGATACAAATGGGACCCACGAGCCTTCAACCTTAAGCCTCGCTCTTTCCCAGTCGGCCATTCTCCTGGTGCTAATTGGAGGGGATGCCACAAAAACCCACTTCCAGAGCTCCCTGGTGGGCATCCAGCTTCCAGAGAAACTCTTGTTTTCCAGCCCAGTCGCAGACAGGGTTAGGATGCTGCGGGCTGGGAGCTTAGGCCAGAGTTCCAGCAGAATCTGGGCGGGGAGGCCCTCTGCTTAGACCTCTCATTTATTTTCCCTCCAGCTTTCCTTGACTTCACCGTCAGGGCCATTTGTTCCATAGGTCTCTTGGCCTATGACAAGGACGAGATTGGATTTAAAGGGGAAAAGATCACTTACTGTAACTGAGAAGGTGTGAGGGGGGTGCAAAATGTGAGCCCTATTTGCCAGAGTTACGGGGAAGACAGGGATTGCCACATCCACTTGGGCTCCTCCAGGTACTGAGACTAGACATAACAATCACTAATATATATTTTTAAAGTTGTGATAAAATATACATAACATAGTATTTATAGTTTTGACCATTTTTAAGTGTACTGTTCAGTGGCATTAAGTACCTTCACATTGTTGTGCAACCATCACCACCATCCATCTTTAGAGTTTTTTTCCATCTTCCCAAACTGAAACTTTGCACCAATTAAACAAGACCCGATTCCCGCTTCCGCCCAGCCCCTGACAACCACCAACTTGTCTACTTTCTGTCTCTATGTACCTTACATAGGTGAATCGTGTAGAATTTGTCCTTTTGCAACTGCATAGCATAATGTCTTTGGGGTTCATTCATATTGTTGTATGTGTCAGAATTCTCCTCCTTTTTAAGGCTGAATGGTATTCCGTTGTATCCGTAGACCACATTTGGTTTATTTATTTGTCCATGGTGGACACGTGGTTTTCTCCACCTTTCAGCTGTATAATAGCTAATACTTTTTTTTTTATTATTGAAGTATAGTTGATTCACAAAGCTGTATTATCTTCTGGTGTACAGCCCAGTGATTCAGTTATACATATATACATTCTTTTTCATTATAGGTTATTACAAGATACTGAACATAGTTCCCTGTGCTATACATTAGGACCTTGTTGTTTATCTATTTTATATATAGTAGTTTGAATCTGCTAATCCCAAACTCCTAATTTATCCCTCCCCCCACTTTCCCCTTTGGTAATCATAAGTTTGTTTTCTATGTCTGTGAGTCTCTTTCTGTTTAGTAAATAAGTTCACTTGTATCTTTACTTTTAGATTCCACATATAAGGGATATCACATGATACTTGTCTTTCTGTGTCTGACTTACTTCACTTAGTATGATAATCTCTAGGTCCGTCCATGTTGCTGCAAAAGGCGTTATTTCATCCCTTTTTATGGCTGAGTAGTATTCCATTGTGTGTGTGTGTGTGTGTGTGTGTGTGTGTGTGTGTGTGTGTATCACTTCTTTATCCAGTTATTTGTTGACATTTAGGTTGTTTCCATGTCTTGGCTATTGTGAATAGTGCTGCTATGAACATTGGGGTGCATGTACCTTTTTGAATTAGAATTTTCTCTGGATATATGCCCAGGAGAGGGATTGCTAGACCATATGGTAAGTCCATTTTTAATTTTTTAAGGAACCTCCATATAGTTTTCCATAGTGGCTGCACCAAATTACGTTCTCACAGCAGTGTAGGAGGGTTCCCTTTTCTCCACACCCTCTCCAGCATTTATTGTTTGTGGACTTTTTACTGATGGCCCTTCTGACCTGTGTGAGATGATACATCAACAGAGTTTTGATTTGCATTTCTCTGATAATTAGCACTATTGAACTTCTTTCCACGTGCCTATAATAGCTAGAACTTTCTGAGTACTCTCTGTGCGCCAGACACTCTTCTAAGCACTTCACTTATGTTAACTCATTTATACTCCCAAAAACCTATGAGTTTATTTTTCCAATTTGGAAACTGAGGCACAGAGAGGGAAAGTAGCTTGCCTGGCAAGCAGCTGACTTGCCAGAAGTTCGGGACCCCAGTCCTGCTTGTGAGTGCTGACCGCTGCTGCGTCTCTTGCCCAGGACCAGAGCCTGGACCGTTAGAGCAGGAGAAGACCACAGCTACTATGTGTCCCAGTTCTTTACAGGTAGGAAACCAAGGACTTAAGGTGTTAAATGACTTGTCCCATAGCTATGGTGTTATCTGAACCCTCAGGTGAAGATGTATCGTTTGATAGTGTTAATACTTCTTGATTAAAAAAAAGGTCAAGCTGGGTGGTGTCATTTGAATGGTCCCCCAAATATAGTGATACTGGGTCATCTTGAGGGTTTATAACGGGGTCAGATAGATATTCTAAATCAGCACTGTTTTGGAGAACGGGGGCCTGTCCCTCCATCTGGCGAGCATTCATTTAGACATGCACCAAACTTGGCTGAGTGCCTCAAGAGTGACTCCTCCTGGTGAAAATGAGTCACATCAGGAAGACGGGCAGGTTTCCACTCCTTTGGGACAGGGGCTGCAGCTTCCATCCCACCAGGTTCTCAGCCCGGATCAGTTTACCCTTGCACACAGGAGACCTGGGAGGAGTAACCAGTAAGTTAACCTGATCCACTACCCTCCATAGGAAGGACAGCACAGCTCTGTCTCCATGCAGAGAGGACAGGAGATGCTCCTTGGAAGGATTCCCGAGTCACACTTCCTGCCTTCACGGTTTACCCTGTTCCGCAGTTTGCAGAGAGCTTCTGTCTCCATTGCAACAGCCCTGGGTAATCCTGCCTTTGCCTTCTGACAGCCTATTCCTTTCTCACAGTGCTTCCAGATCATCTTCTAAGACGTGAGTTTGATCATGCCACTCTCCTCCTCAAAAACCCCCGGTGGCTCCCCATTGTCTGCCGAGTGTAAGCCCAAGGCCCCGGCATTGGCTGTACTCCATATGGAGCCCCAATTTCCTTTCCATCACCACCCACACCTTCTCCCTCCATGCTTCGCTCTCCTAGACACTCCACATGCTGCTTTGCCTCCATCACCTTTCCTCATCCCTTCTCCAGCTCAGCCCACTCCCCAAATGCTTCCACATTTGTCAGCATCCCCCTCTTTGCTCCTTCCAGTCAGAATTAGCTGCTCCTTCCTCAATGGCATCACTGCCAATAGCAGGTGAGTCTACTCAGCCTTCCTGTTGCCCTGCCTTGGATCCCTGTAAGGTGTTCCCGGGTCACTTTCCCTATAGACAGTTCTGCAAGGGCACTCACCATGAATTCACCTTTGGGTAGGGCAAAAACTCTTCTGCTTATCGGCAATGTGATATCCTCTTTGGGTACAGCATCCTTTCCTAGTCACCATCTCTGTGTCCTGTTTTTATAACAATATTTCTTAAAACAGGGTTGGAGGAAGGTGAGGACAGTTGAAAGTCACCTGGAGGTGAACACTGCTACTGACCACAGTGAGGGGAGTACCAATGTGGTGGAGAGTAGAGCAGAGGTCAGGGTGCAGGGGGTTCAGAACCTGCTCGGCAACCATGCTGCCTGAAAGAACAGCCCCATTTCCTCTCCTATTGCCTCAACCCATTGCAGATGGGATTTGGCTCCTACAGAGCTGCCAAGTTCCTTTCTCTAACGTGATCCCCCAAGAGCAGAACCCAGCACTTCGTTCTACACCGGACACTGACAATGCCATTTGCTTTGTTCCATTTCAGGCTCTCTCCTTTCTTAGCCTCATCCTCCTGCCCCTCTGCTGGTCCCTGTGTAAACTGCCTATACTGGATCATCTTGAGCCTAATTCACAGTGATGCTCTTGCTTCCTCCTCACACCCTGTCCCCAGACAACTCCATCACTTGTAGGGCACTGGTTGCTACCTAAATGCAGAAGAGCCAAGTCTTGATCCTCTTTTGAGAGCTTTCTGAGCTCCAGATCAGAATTTCTGACTCCTCACTGGATGCCCCAAAATAGCCTCCTCTTCTCTCCTAATACTTTTATTGGGAGAAATATACTTGCATTATTGGCTCCAATTCATTATCCACCTGCTTCACTGTTGGCTGAATATATTCCCCAACCCCCTGATTTTGGGCTTGCCATATGGCTTCCTTTGGCCAGTAGGATGGAAATAACGTTGTGCCTTAGTTGAGTTTCCGGCATAGGAGTGAATGTTGCTTCCTCTGCCTCCTGAGTCTGGGCCTGCAATGAACACATGGAGCAAAGCTTACCCAGTCAAGATGCAGACTTAAAGCAAGAAGCCGAGCAGCCCCATGACTGCAGATGCATGAGAGCCACTGAACCCTAGAGTTGTGAGATTAAAGGACTGTGCTCTTCAGCCACTGAATATTGGGCCGGTTTGTTACACAGCATTGGTATGGCAATAGCTGACCATTACAATCTTACATAGAGATGAAGGTATAAAACATAAATACACAACATAAGATCAGCTATGCAGGGAAAACCCATATCACCACTGCCAAGGGAAGAAAGAAAATATCGCTCAGCACCTTGGAAACTTATAAATGCCCTTCCTGATCACTACCTCCTCCCTCAGCCCTAGAGGTCACCAAAATTTTGAGTTTTTTTAAAAAATAATTTCTTACTTTTCTCCATAGTTTGTGAGAATCATCCAAAGTGTCACATATACTATCGTTGCTTCATTTCCATCGATAAGCAATATTCATTATGTGAACAAACTACTGTTTATTGATCTGTTCTGCTAACGGATATTTCCGATGTTTCTGGTTTTCTGTTACTATAACAATTCTGTGTGAGCAGCCCTACAATCAGGGGTCAGCAAACTTTTTCTGTAAAGGAACATTTTAGGTTTTGTGGCCACGTATATTCTTCTTTATTTTGAAATAAATTTTAAAATAATGGGAAAAAAGGAAAAGTCATCCTAAAAATGTAAAACAATTGCTAGCTCACGAGCTGTACGAAACCAGACTGGTGGCAAGACTGGCTGCGGGCTGTAGCTTGCTGCCTCTGCCCTCTGAGCTCCCTTACATGTGCACAGATGCGTCTGAAGGACTGTAATGGCTGGACGCCAGGTCTGCACATCTTTAGCCTCACTAGATAAAGCCCGATCTTAAATTTAGCATATGGAAAATGGAAATCCCATTTTCTCAAGCAAATGAACCCGTGGGCACCTGCTGCACAAAGAAAGTGAAATTCCTGTGGTCCCCATGGCAGCCCGAGCATTCTGCCACGCCAACCACTTCCCTTTCCGTTCCAAGAGGTAGTGAGCAGCGCTGCTGTCAAGTGATGCCCGTCAGAGTGGGGGTCGGGGGTGGGGCCACACAGGTCAGAAGAGGGAGTCACTGGGTTTTGAGGCTAAGTGGGGAGTTCCGATTTGATTTTACTGGTAAAAGAAAACCAGCGGAGGAGGTGAAGTGGGGCCGTGACAAGTCTGAGCTACGTTTTAAAAAAATCGCTTTGGCTGCTGAGAGTGGATTTTTAGGGAACAAGAGAGGAGGAAGTGAGTCCTCAAGGGAGGGATGTCAACTGCAGAGTCTCGCGAGAGTGGAGGGGGCGAAGGCCGAGCTGCGGAAAGCGAGTCCTTCGTCAGCATCACCGCCTGCTCCTCCCCCTTCACACGCACAGCCCCAGACACCCTGAACCTGAGCGAATCTCCGAGCCACCCTGCTCTCATCCCCTCACTCATCCTGTTCCCCACTTCTGCGGTCCTCTCTCCTCTGACCAGGGGTCACAGTTCACCCATCCTGCCCACTGTGACTCCTCCCGGGCTGACCTCCTCTCCCCAGACTCCCCCAGCGGACCATGGTGGCTCCGCTTCATCTCATTTAATGAGAAATGTGCTGTGTGCCCTAAATCTGTTTCCTCACTGAACTTGAGACGACTCTTACCTTCGAGTCTTATCTTTTTAGTTCTGCCACCACTGCCATTGAGGGGGCACTGAAGCCAGGAGTGTGGAACTGAATCCATCATCCGGCAACCACTGTGGAGATCAGCAGGTTGGTAAAGCGATCCAGCTAGAACCGGAGCCCACGGAGTGTGGAGACTCCTCGAAAGATTAAGGAAGTGGCTTCTGGAACCGTGACCACCCACGCTGTGCCATAGAGAGCAAAGCTGGCCGCGCCCAGGGCTGGGCCCTCCCTAAAATGGAAGCCAGGAGCACATATATCACTGTTGCTGAACAATGGATTAGTCTCTTATCTCTCCTCCTGCCATGTTAGCGGTTGCTACAGCCACCTCTGCTCCCAGACACGAACAAAAGCACTGCTCCTAGTTAGTGTGAGTTCTTGGCTCCTTTCCTGCCCCTGTTGCCCCAAAGAAGTTGCAACACACAGAGATAAACAGGCTTGTAAAAAGAGGTCAGATCATCCAGTTAGTTGGCTGTTGGGATTCTAGAGGAAGAAAAAGACTAGAGGGAGGAGAAGAGGAGGTAAGAAGTGGAGCTGATCTGGGGGGAGAGCTAGAGAGAACTGGGAAAGAATAAATACTGGTTTTCATCCTGAGCGAATTACAGTACTACTTACAACAGTAGAGTAAAACATCCATTTTATTAAAATGCAGCAAATGCTTTGAAGGTGGGCTAGACCAGGGCTACACAAACTGTGTTCCAGGGAAGGGGACTGAGCCATAAACTGCGTGGCCACGCCAAGAAGAACTAAGTACAGCAGTTCAGAGAAGTTTTTAGGAAAGTCGCATAGCCATTCGGCAGAATAATTTCCTGACCATTGAGTTTAATCATAAAAACAAGACTTCTATTTTGTAAGGTTTTTTTTTTTCTTTTATAATGTCCATTTCCTAGCAATTTTCACTTCTCGCTTCTTAGGGGTTTTGGCTGGGCCTGAGAATTAAGTGGACATAAGACAGATTAACAGGAGGAAAGCACACACATTAATTTAACACAGACTTGGTGTGACATAAGAGCCCTCAGAAGGAAATACAGACCCCAAGAAAGTGACAGAATCTAAATGTGTTCATAGTAGGTTGAACAAACAAAAGAAAAGTAACAAAGACAGAAGGGAGGCCAATGGAAGATGAGAAGTATTTTAACAAGGTCTGTTTGTACAGAATTCTTTCGGGTTCAACTTCCTGACCTTGATCATAAGAATGTTACCTTCTTTCTGGTGTAGGGAGGACATCTTTCATCTGAAGGTTTTATCTCCTGCTTTTAGAGAGAAAGGCACCTTGTACCTGGTTTTTTTTTTTTAATGTATTTAGCTTAAACTAATCTTTATATGCAAAACTGGCATATTTGGGGTGGCATATTCTGCCACTGTCCACTAGTCATTTTAATTTTTTTTAATTTTTAATATTTCATTGTTATTATTATTTTCTAATTTTTAGAGGGGAGGTGATTAGGTTTATTTATTTACTTTAATGGAGGTACTGGGGATTGAACCCACGACCTTGTGCATGCTAGGCAAGCACTCTACCACTGAGCTATATCCTCCCCCTACTAGTAATTTTTAATGTATTTTACAGTAGTATTGATCTATGATACATTGGCAGTAAAGAAAAACAACTCTATTGTTCAGCCCAGAGACTGTGAAGCACTGAGCCCACCTAATGGAAGCCGGTCCCAGCTGGGAGGTCCCTCAGTGTCCTTTGAAGAGCCAAGAACCATGTCCCCCAGGAGAAGCAGCCCTGTGCTGTTGACCCTCTAAAAAGAGGAATGGCCAGTGCTGGAGAGAGAAACAGGCATCACTGTGGATGGAGGCTTTTACAAAAAACAGGGAAGGGACTGCTGCCACGGGCAGTCAGAGAAACACTGAATTCCTTCTCCCTGGTTCCGTTCTCAACACAAAAAGAATAAGCACAAGAAACAAGGACTGGGTAGCACAGGGAACGATCCTCAATATTTTGTAATAACCTGTAATGAAAAAGGATCCGAAAAAGAATAGATACACGTGCCTGCGTGTAACTGAATCACTTTGCTGTACACCCGAAATCAACACAACATTGTAAATCAACTGTACTTAACAATAGAAGAAAAAGCACAAGCGCAAAGGGGTTTGAGGAAGAAGAAGACCCTCCTCTCTCACCTCTACTTAATCCCCTCAAACCCTAAAGCCATTGCATTTTGGACAGTGTGGAGAGGAGATTTGAGTCAAAGGAGACTGACGTTCTTAAAAATCGAAAGTCTTAGTAATCAAAATGTGACTCTACGATGTCACATCTCCCCAAGGCAGCACATGTTCCCTGGGCCACTCTCAAGATCCCCACTGGTGTCAGAGCTGCTGAAATCAGTTCAAAAGTCCTGGATTGTCCTGGGGCAATTTGCTACCTTAGGCTCCCATCTTAATATTTTAGGCAGAATCATTTTCACCACAATTCAGGTGAACCACCTCTGAATGCACCAGACTTGGTGAACTCTACATGGCTGCCCTGGACGGGAGGGAAAGTGGCAAGTCCCCAAGGAGCTCTGACTCCAGCTGGGGAGCTGACACAGTTCCGCACATGCCAAATGGGTCTGTGAAGGTTGGTACAGGTAGAGGGCACCAGCTTTTGAGTCACGTGAGTACAAATTAATGGGAGGAATTACTATGCAAGGAGAGGCCCCTTTGAAGGCCGTGTGCTGGGTCTAGAAGGCTGGTAGAAGTTCAACAGAGAGGGAACAATTTGTTTGTTTTGTTTTTTGGCTGAAAGACAAAGGAGAGCCTGCAGCAGCCTAGGACTGGCCAGAATGTCCAAGAGCTTCTTGTGTAAAGGACACCCATGAGGTGACTCAGGTCTGTATCTCAGAACCATGTACACCTCATGGGTGATGAAACCAGACTCAAAGGGCACCCTTGGTGTGGCCCATAATTGCGTAAATTGCGATAAGAGTCACTTGGGAATTACGAAGATCAGCCCACCAGGGTGATCACATCCCTCATTAAAAACAGAGGAGAAGCCGGAACTTGCCCAAATCGAGACCAGTCAGTGTCATCCTGACCTAAAATAAGATGGGCTGTGTCAGGAACATGAGGAGGGGCCTGCCCCCTGGCCCGGACCCGCTGTAGGTCAGCGTGACCCACCCTGGGACACCTCCTGTCCCCTCTGCTGTGCACTGTGTTTTCCCGGACAGAGCCTGGGCACTTCCTGCAAGGTGGAACCATCATTGTTATATTACCCATTCTTTTCCCAAAACTCCCTCTTGCATCCTTCTGTTCATCTGTGAAACCTGTCTTTTTATGGGAAAAATGCAAAGGGGTTATTTTTCATTTTCAGAAATTCTCAAGGGGCACACCCAAGGTTTAAGAACTAGAGTGTTCCGCCCGCTCCCCCAACCCCCAGCTCAGCCCTTAGGCAGGCCCATCCTGCGGTAGGCTCGGGAAGTCCTTGGTGGACCCCACTACCCAGTGTCCTTTGCTTATTCATTTAGGAGGTAGCAGTGCAAGGAACTGGGAAGTGGGGTGGCAAATAGCACAGCCCTATGCTCCTGAGCGCCTCTGCTCACCCAGCTCATTGTCTTCCTCCAGGCTGGCTTAACCTCTTCCATTGTCTACCCAACCCAGACCAGAAGCCCAGGATCATGCTGGATTCTTCTTTCCCTTTTTGCTCTTCCTCCTCGCATCACCCACCCCCTCTCCCGCCATCTAATCAATCAAATCACCGAGTCGTCTCCACCTCACCTCCCACCAGCTCGCCAACGCAAACTGTTGATAACTGCTGAATGTGGGTGCCGGATACATGGATGTCTGTCATACCATTCTCTTTGCTTCTGTGTCAGTCTGAATGTTTCCAGAACAGAAAGTGAGATTTAACAAAAGAGAAACAGGATTTCTCAAAGTGGTCCCCTCTGCTTGGTTCCTTCCAGAATCCAGCCTCTCACCATCTCTTGCCAGGATGACTTCTTTGCAGTCCCTCTGCCTGCTGCCCTTGCCCACCGCAGCCCCAGCCTCTCCCTCCCACCAGCCAGCCTTAGGTTGACAGGCGTTCTTCCCCCAGCGCAGAAAGTAGGTGGTGGCAGGCTCTCCTTCTAGGCAATTTTTAGACTGTTTCTATTTATTTTTTCCTATTGGGAGTAGAGGTAGTAATTAAGTTTATTTATTTTTTAATTACTTTTTTTTTAATGAAGGTACTGGGGATTGAACCCAGGATCTCATGCATACTGAGCATGCACTCTACCACTGAGCTATACCTCCCCACCAGACTGCTTTTAATGGAAGGAGTTGCAAGACATGAGACCCATCTAAACACTTGGCCAGGCAGGCTTTGCCCCGGGCTGGGGGTCAGGTCCCCAGGGTCTCATCCCAGCACAGCCGCCAGCCAGGAGTGAGAACAAGCCACTTTCTGTGCTCCCAGTCTGTAAGAAAGAAATACAACAGCACCATTAGCTCCGGCCAGTGCCTTTACTTTCAAAGGGATTTGAAGAACGTAACCATCTTGTCGGAATCTCAAAACAGACCCTTGAGGGAGATGGGGGCATATTTTCAGGTTATTTCAGCCAGGGTGTCCTGGTTGAGGTATGAAATGAGTACCTACCCTTTCCCTCCTCAGAGAAAGAGTGACACACGTCTGGTTCGAATAAATCAATGACCTCACCTCAGCTGACTCACTCATCTGCAGCCCGTTCAAATGCCAAGGTGAAGAGAGAAGCGGAGAAGCCTTGTAGGAGTAAGGAAAGCAGACACGTATTTCAACTTATTAAGCTGTGATTTTAAAGGCTTTTTGTTTTTAGTTGAAGTTCAGTTGGTTTACAATGTTGTGTTAATTTTTGGTGCACAACATAGTGATTCAGTTATACATACATTTGTTCCTTTTCATGTTCTTTTTCATTATGGGCCATTACAAGGTATTGAATATAGTTC